GCAAGCCACTGATAGCACCTAGGATCTATGGGTTAAAGAATCAGATGCATAATCCTGACAGTTGCAGTAAGAAGTGGGGAGCCTGCTCACAGAGTCTTCTTACATAGGAATAGGTTACATATCTGAATCAATTTTCTTCCAATTGTATCAGGGCCATGACCGGACAAAGGGGTCATACTTCATCTTAATCTTTCAACAACTGCTTAGCTCTTCATAGAAAATCCCAGCATGGAATTGATTTCATTATGTTAGATGGGGAAATCTTGGCCGTCAATTTGACACGAAACTGATCAAAACCTTGAAATATGAAAGCACAGTGTCAGCATTGCTGTGCTCTGTCAGAATCTCTCTGAGTAGTTTCCAAAACTGATGTGGCTACTATCCTCCTTTCAAAAATACTACTCAGTACCCCTCATGCAATTAAAAACATTGTAGTATAGTCTAGTATCCAAGATAAAGTGTAGTTATCTGCTTTTACAGTCCTGTGCCCCCCTGGATGATTCAAGCTCCCTCCATTTTAGGAAACACTGCTCAAAGGAAGATCCTCGGTAATGGTTAGGTTTCTGTGTGCTAACGTGGCACCTGTAAGAAGATTTGGGTGGAGTCTAGCTTATCAAACAGGTTGCAGCCTGGTGACATCCCTTGGAGGTGTGGCCTACATATAAGATGGGGAAAGAAGAAAAAGATGTTGTGGAGGACTGACTGCCTCTGTTTTTCATCCCTTCTTACCTGGACTGGTTGGTGTGCCCCCTGATCTGGCCGCCTCACATGCCATGCTGCACTGCTTGATAGGTGCCTTGCATTGCCATGCTGCACGTGCTCTGTTGGCTGCCTGGGATCACCAAGTTGTACTGCCTAGACTGACTGCAGTGAATCACCACCCTGTGCCACCTGCCGGCAGACTCTCATTGCCACACTGTGAGGTCCTACTGTCACTTGCTTTGCCACAGCACACTACTGGCCTCTCTTCTGCTTCACCAGCCTTTGGCTCCTACCTCCTGCTTCTTTAGCCCTTGCACCTGGTAACCACATGGAAAGACCTTCAGCACATTGACTGACCCAGGAAAGTGTGTCAGTCTGAGCTCTCTCTCAACAGCTGTGTGCTGTTTTCTTTTTAATATTTCCTTTTACAACATAAACTGCTCTACTTATATACAATCATAAATGTCCTGGTTTTGCTTCTCTAGAGAACCAAGCCTAATACACGTTACCTGTATCTTCCAGCTTCTGGTAGTTGTCAGCAATCCTTGGCATCTATTGGCTTGTAGATGCATCACTCTAATCTCTGCCTATATCGTCCAAAGAAAAGACAGTGACATTTTCTCTTCTGCATTCTGTGACTTCGTGTACCTTTGTTTCTGATTTTAAGGACATCAGGTCCCGTTAGTGGTGTTAAGTTGTTCCCAGTCTTGGTTGCTAACTGAAATACTGGAGGCGTGAATCTACCCAGAGGCACTGTGGATGAAAGGTTTGATGATCTGCTTCTGAAAAACCAGTCACTGAAAACTGTGGAGCACAGTTTTATTCTGATACATATGGGGTCATCATAAGTCAGAACTGACTTGATGAAAATTGGTATGTGTGGGGGGACCAGCCTCCCCACAACTGAATAGGTGCACAGTGTGGTTGTGTCATTGAGGGGTAAATTAAAGAGACATGAGACAAGGCATGCAAGGACTCAGCTCTTCCATGGCGACAGGAACCAGAATGAGGAGGCAATATCTTATCTCACAAGCTTATATAACTTCAGGGATGCAAGCCATGGTGAGCACATACATAACAGGAAGGGGATGAGCTAGGAAGGGGATGCACGAGAAGCATACATGTGACAGGAAGGTATATATGTAACAAGATGGGCAGGTTCTAGAGTTAAGGTTGCAGCCGAACCTTAGTGGCCTTTGAGCTGGCTTGACCTTGGGTGCCACTGAGCTCTTCTCTAAGGGAATAATCTATGATCCTTATCAGAAGGGAGTGGGCCCTACTTGAGGTGGGACGGACAATAGGGTCTAATTGCTTTGGATGGCAGACAACCTTCAGGCAAGTAGCCTTCAAGCAGTTAACCTGCAAGTAAATATCGTAGCAAGTATGTGCTTGCAAGTAGCACCTTAAAATTTGCATCATAATGGGGGACCATTGTAAGGAATAGCATTTATTTAAGAGAATGTGAGTGGACCGCATCTCCAACTCAGGAACATAAGGTTTCCCCCCATGGCCAGCTTTCCAGACTTAACGTATGAACATAGAGAATTTGTCCACAAGCACTCTCTTCCCAGTTCTGTTTCCCAGAGGTATGACGTTTGGAATTTGGAACACTAGTCACTGGACTAAGGTCCATCCCGTCTTCAGTAGGGCATCATCCTACTTGATGACATCAGAACAGACTCTGTTTCTAATAAGATCACATCACAGATATCATAGACTTAGACTTCAATGGGTCTTTTTGGAGGCTCAATTAACTCACATAAAGAATGCTTTTTTAAATTGTTGGCTTTATTTTATCTTTATATTATTACTCTTTATTTTTATCTTTATATTACTCTTTATTTTTATCTTTATATTATTATTTCTTTCTGTTTCATTTTGTGTTTGCTTTTTTATTGTTTCTGCTTATGAAGCACAGAAAGTGTGGATGCATAGACACAATAACTGATGGAATGGTTTAACAGGGCTGGGGAGGTCTGGGAGGGCAAGGGGAATTGGGGAGCAAATAATGAATGTGCGAATGGGAAGGGTGCACTGGAACTGATTGTGATGATGTATACACAACTCTTTTTAAAAGTGACATAACTATGGAAGTGTATAATATTTGAATTTTATATCAGCAAAGCATTTCTTTTTAAAAAGAAATTCTACTTAAAAAAAATTCGTCTGATGCTTACCTTGATCCTCCTGATACTAACAATGAGGCCATGGGTTTCAGGTTAGGTTACACACAGATAGACTTGGCTCTGAGTTGGCTCACAGAGATTCAGGCCCACCATGTTTTCTTTATTTTAGCCCAGTCGAGGCCATTTTGAATATGTTACCTCTAGAACTGTAAGAATTAATTTGTGTTGTGTTAAAATACTAAGACTGTGTGTGTGTGTGTGTGTGTGTGTGTGTGTGTGCGTTAATTTGCTAAAAGGAACAATAGAAACACTAATACAGATGCTATACAATTTAGGTTACCCAAATAGCAATAAAAAATACAAATTTAGCAAAATTCAATAAAACATAAAATAATAAATGCTGGAGAGCATGCAGAGAGATTGGAATGCCTTTACATTGCTGGTGGGGCTATAGAGTTATACAACCACTACGGAAATCAATATGGCACCTCCTCAAACAAAAGCAAATACACATACCTTATGATCCAGCAATTGCTCTGCTTGGTATAGACCCTAAATAAATCAAGAATACATGAACAGGCATGCACACCTTTTTTTTTGCAGCAATTTCCATAATAGCAAAAATATGAAAACAACCAAAAACCTCAATTATAGAGGAATGTATGAAGAGACACTAGTATATTCATACTATGAATATTACACATCAATAAAAAACAATGACAACTCTCTTAAAAACAACCCACCTTCCATATGCCAGCTGTGCTCTTTGGAAATCTGAGCTTCCCTTTCCTGTTCAGTTCAGATACCAGCTGCTCCATGCAGCTGTCCTCCGCCGTGCATCCTACCATCTGGGTCTCCATCATGCATCTGTCTTCCCCTGTGTATCCTACCATCTGGGTCTCCATTTCAGTAACCTCGAGTTTTGGAGGCAAAATTGGTTGTGCAATGGACTGCCTATGGCAATGTTGGAGAAAGATGAGGTTTTCTGCTCCCTCTGAAACCCCAAGGTTGTGGGGGCGGACAGTTCTACTCCATCCTACAGGGTGGATGTGAGTCAGAATCAACTTGATAGCAGTGAATTTTGGTAAGTTTGTCTTCAAGTTCAGAAGTCCACAAGAGTCTCTCTACTTCAAACCAACTGGCACCCCTGCTCCTTTGGATCTGCTAATTCTCTTTGTAGCTCACAGAACTCGTGGGAGAGGTTAGACCTGTAATAACAGCTTAACTATACAAAAAGAAACACATACACACACACACAAAAATGAAAAGTTTCATTTGTCTAGGAGGGATACCAGGACAGAACTTCCACATGTCAAAGAGGATGCGCTGCTCTTCTGTGTAGATGCTTGCTCTCTCCAACCCATAAACTCCCTGAGCCCTCACCATGTGGCTGCAACAAATTAGATTCTGCTTCAAGAAGCCTAGACCCCATGAAAGCTCGGTGCTTGGAACTCTCAGGAACCCAGAACAAAGGGATGGATTTGCTCTCTACACCGTACAGAGGGAGTCTCTCCCTCACCAATAGGGTTATGAGAAGGCAGACATCACATTGCTGAAATCAGAAAATTTCATCACTACGTAGTTTAAATACAAAAGGGTGTACAATATATGCAGTCTCCAATTAAATGTATCCCCTAAGTTTCCTGCACAGAGCCCTCTTTCATGACCAAGAACTTATTAATAAAGCCTATTAATGCCTCCTCTCTGTACCCCTAGGAACTTGCTGGACACTACACTAAGACCAAGTCTAGGGCATTAGTGCAGTTCATGTGATCCATGCCCTGTCAGGACTATGCCAAGACGTGTCATCGATTCAAATGATTGGAGCCCTGAGGGTAGAAATTTAGAGGGCTAGGGTTATAGTGCCTGTGGGCAGGAGGTCCCTAATAGGCCCTCCATCCTGAAGGAAGATGCAGGAGACATATACATGCTGCCTGGGTCCACAGATCATGGGCCTGCAGATGAGTAGTGTCCTCACTGGGGCTGGGACAGTATTCGATTACATCACAAAGGGACTTCTGTGTGACTTTCCAACAGGAAGTGAAGTCAGGTAAAGATACACCAGAAAGCAGGGCTCCTGACTAGACCACAGGTATGAACTGAGAGTATTGGCAAGTCAGTGGGTCAGGGCCAAATATCCAGGAGAGAAGAAAGGGCTTGATGGGGTAGAGCAGGTTTGAAAGTGCACAGGAGGTGTGGAGCCAAGAGTCTTGAGAGGAGGCTCTCTCCCAGCAGCAACGTCCATACTTCATATAGGACGGAGAGGCAGCTAACAAGAGTGGATGGTGATCCACACAGGAATCTGCATAGAGACATCTGCATTCAGATGGAGAGGAAGTTTCCCTAGAAGTAAAGACTACACTTAGTATTAGAGGAAATGAGCGGAGAACCCTAGTGAGTCTGCATTGAATTCAACTAGACTAACACTGAGATAGCTACACCCAGAATTGGAGGAAGAGAGAGGAGAGCCCTAAAAGTGATCCTAGTGACCCTACCTTGAATACAACTACAACAACAAGGAGATAGCCCCTGTGCTAGGGACCTTTTTGAAGCTATTCAGGCAACAGCAGTACCCCATCCCAACAGGAGGAGGCGGCACATCTGTGTCGCCTTGACAGAAGGACCATGACCGGGCGTCAGTGGCTCTCTCTGCTCCTGCTGACCATTCTGGTGGTTGTGGTGACTACAACAGATCCAGCCAAGCATCATGTGAAAGTGCTGAGGAAACTCAAACCAGTCAACTCATCAAGCGCTAACGTGAAACAATGCCTGTGGTTCGCCATGCAAGAATACAACCAAGAAAGCGAGGAGAGGTACATCTTCAAGGTGGTCAAGATATTGCAAGCCCAGCTCCAGGTAAAGGTGTTCTCTCCAAATAGAAGGGTTTTTTAACATGTGCCACAGGTTGAATCTAGACTGAAAGAGTGGGCACGTAGAAAATTGATTGATAACCCAAAGTCCTAAATAGGTGATCACTTAAGAACAGACCCACTTGGAAAATAACCCCAGCAGTGTACATAGGAGAGGGCTTTCAAAAGTTCATGAAACAATTCCATTACCTTTCCATTCCATTTTCCAAACATTTTTGAAGTCCTCTTACATGTACTTGACTATTGTCCTAAGGACATCATATTCATTGAATTTCCAAATGGTAAATCAAATGTTCATTACTTGTATTTGCTAATTTTGAGAGAAGACTTAAGTGTTTTGAATATTTTTCAATGATGTTGCTATAGATAATACTTAAAACTATCCATATAACATGAAATCTGGGGTGGAAGAGAGGCATATGATACTATCTAATTTATCTGTAAACAAAATACCCAAGCTCATATTCTTTAATTCAAATTTTATATGGTGATTTCTATTTATAAAAATATATCCTTTTTCCAAAGGTAGAAGAACTCAGGGAAGTGTTATTATACTTAGCTGTTATACTACACAATCTAGTTCTAAATGCAATTTTGGTTATAAATAACAGAATGGTGAACAGTTTTCTGGAGCTTAAACATTTCCTATATATCCAGATTTAGTATGCATATGTTTCCTTATGGATAGCATTGAAACATTGCCAGACACGGAAGGCTTAAAGAACAGAAGCAGAATAGTGTCAGAGATAGTGCCAGAAGATGAACCCCTTGGGTCAGAAGGCCCTCCAGGCTTGAGGAAGACCTGTCTTCTCAAAGTAAAGTTGATCACAATGATGTGGGTCTAAAGCCTTTGGGACATTCATTTTCTGATAGTCCATGACTCACAATGAGAAGAAAAAGAGATCTGTTATTAATTAGGACTTGAAATATATGAAGTATGAAACTAGGAAAATTGGAAGTCATAAAAAATGAAATGGAATGCATAAAGATCAATATCCTAGGCATTAGTGAGCTGAAATGGACTGGCATTGGTCATTTTGAATCAGAAAATTATACGGTTTATTATGCTGGAAATGACATAGTGAAGAATAATAGCATTGCATCCATCATCAAAAAGGACATTTGAAGATCTATTCTGAAGTACAATGCTGTTTGGGTTCGAAGCAGATCTATCCACCTTCAAGGAAATCCAATCAGCACAATTATTATTCAAATTCATGCACCAACCATGAAAGCTAGTGATGAGGAAATTGAATTCTACTAACGTCTTCATAGGGTCACTATGAGTCAGAACTGACTCAACAAAACCCAACAGCCACAGCAGAATTTACATATGTACGTTTCACCCACATATATCCTTTTTGGGTATTTTGTTATTGTTTGAAAATTAGATGTTATTGTATTAAGCGTCCACCAACTTTTTCATGGAAAAAAAAAATCAGATTGTTTATTCCAGAACTAAATTGGAAAGACCCCAGTGTTGTTGTTAGGTGCCACCGACTCTGTTCCCACTTAGAGCAAGTCCCTGTGCAGCACTCGCAGCCATCCTCACACTTGTTGCCAAACCGCTGCAGCAAGTCGGCCTACCAGACTGTTCCTCCCGATGGCTTGTCTGAAGTACACGACACCACGTTGTGCCATTCTTGCTGTTAAGGAGCCTCTTGGCTACCTTTTCCCAAGACATTTGTTTATTCTTCTGGTAGTTAATGGCATACTCAAAATCCTTCACCAACACCATAAATCAAAGGCATCAATTCTTCTTCAATCTTCCTTATTCATTATCCAGTTTTTGTATGTATATAAGTTTATAGAAAAAAACATGATTTTGGATCAGGCACACCTTAATCTTTCACCCCCTGGTTCTTTTTTACTTGTGTAAACCTTCATCAAGCTGTGCATATGAAGGGACTTCAAAAATTTGTGAGACAATGGAATGAAAAGATAATGAAAATTTTTTCAGGAACTTCCTGAAACCCCCTTTTACATCGCCTTCAGTCAATCTTACTTTCTCATGACTACAAATAACCAGCAGCAACCGCTAATGAACGTACACTTCTGTACATTTCCTTGTTCACGTCATTTCAGAAAAGTGAAAACATTCAATATTTGTATTTTTGTGACTCTTTGAGCTTAACACAATGTCCTCCAAGTTTACACATGTTCCAAGGATTTTGGGCCTCATTTATCTTTATTGCTGAGTAGTAGTCCACAGTATGTATGTAACACATTTTACTCATCCACTCATTGGTTGATGGCACTTAGGTTGTTTCTATCTGGTTTTGCTCTTGTGAATAATACTGCGATAACTGTAGACTTATATAGGCATTCTTAGCAATTCCATTAGATCCAGAGGTTTTATCCCCTAAAATGTTAGCTCTATGTCTAGTTTGTTTTTTAACATTTTGTTGTGATTTGGGAGGTTACAGATCAAATTGGGCATCCGTTAAATAATTTACGCACATTTTGTTTTGAGATGTTGACTGCAAAGGTAGCACAAGTCCTTCCACTTAATTTTTGTGTTACCTTTTCAATTTGTCTTTCTTTCTCACCATTCTCACCTTCTGAGCTTTATCTCTGGGCCATCCTTGCCCTTTGGACCTTGTATGGCTGAGTGGCCTAAGAAGTGGATACCTCTCTGATGTTATTGCTCCCCTTACAGGTGTGTTTGGCAGAAAGTTGGGTGAAATAAAGTGAAAAAATGGAAGACTCCAGGAGACAGTTTGACTGAAGGACTGTAAACTCCTAGATAGAGTCAGGGGAAAAAGAATGGTGGTTTTGTTCCAGACTTGAAGGGTGTCTAAAGGTGTAGTCTCAGGGTTTCCATAAGTCTCTATGATACAAAGTAAATCTGATCTTTTATATGATTTTGAGTTTTGATCACATTTTTCTCCCAACCTATCCAGAAAACCCTTTTATGATCCTGTTCAGAGCCATCAGCAGGGGTAGCTTGGCACCATCTCTCTCATTTTTCAGGTCTCAGGGTTATGGAGGCAGGAGTTTGCAGGGTCCATTAGTCTTTTAGATGAACCATTTCCTCGACTCTTAATTTTCTTCACTTTTCTTTGCTCCAGACTGGGTAAGGCCAGTAATTGCACATTATATAGCAACTCACCAGTCTTAGACATTTGTTGGTTCTTCCCAAAGTAAAATGTAGAACATTTTCCTTGAGGACTCTTATGCAAATTACCTTGGTATTCCCCGGATTGTAGCTTTGAGCCACCAGGTGCAGTGACTCATTCAATATGTTTGGTTACAGCTAACAAGTTTTCTTAACTTTGCCCCCTGTTTGCAGCACACACGGTATATAGAAATATCTTCGGTCCAACCTATTTAGTAGGTACAGTCCCATTTGCCATCCTCCACCTGTTGAACTTGCATTTCTATCTATGTATCCATTCATAGATTATGGCTATTACTGCTATTTCAGGATTGCATATAAGGATAAATAAAAAGTATTACTACTAGTGTTCCATGAATTTAAATGCATGAATTTATTTCAAACAAAATAAGCTTCAACATGTCTCTGCAAACTGTGAGTGGCTGCAGGTAGGTTCCGTCCGTGTTACACTTGTCTTCGCCTGCTATTATGCCTTTAAAAACAAATATCCAATCCACACAGGGGCTTCGCTGGGCAAGTGATGGAACAGTTGAATTCAAGGCACATAGCTCAGTTAGGGAGGTTATGTCCACTGATTATTTCGGATTCCAAAAGGGTCATCTCGATAGATTTTTCTCAGAGGACAGATAATCGCGTGCCTTATAAGGAAGAAATCTTTAAATCCATTGAAAATTGCATTGGTGAGAAAAAGGTCAGGAGTGTAGCACTGAGGGATGTCCCCCTATTATGACAATGTGCCTGTTCCTTCTTCAGGCTAGCAGGGCTGTCTTGTGAGAATTTCATTGGGAAACTTTACCCTATCCACAATTTTTCCCTTCCTGACTTGGTTTTATCCCCCTTCAAACTCAAAACAGAAAACCAAAAAATGCAAACTCCCTGCCTTGAAGTCATTGCAATTCAGAGGAACCTTACAGGAGAAAGTAAAAGTACCCCATGGGTTTCCAAGATTGTGACTCTTCATGGGAATAGAAAGTCTCCTTTTTCTCCCATGGAGTGACGGGTGGGATCGAGTTGTTGAACTTATGGTTAGCAGCCCCACTATGTCACCAGGACTTCCCACCCCAAACTCAAAGGACGTTGAAAAGGAACATGATTTAAGTCCCTAGATGATTCCAAAACAGCTGTTTTGATGTGGTATAAATCAGTGCAAAGTTATTTGGAGAAAGATTTAAGATAAAAACACCACCTTCAGTCATGTTCATACCTAAGTGGAGGATATGATGAGATACAAGAACTTGACATTTCATAAGTTTGACTAATAAAGGTATGAGTCCCACTTGGTCATGATGCATTATGGATTTGTTGATATGTTGCTGGATCAATTCGTTAAGATTTTGAAGAAATCTTCGTTTATGTTCATGAAAGATATTGGACTATAATTTTCTTTTTTAATGCAGTTTTGGCCTGGTTTTGGTATTAGGAATATGTTCACTTCATAAAATGAATATTAGGGTATTCCATCCTTTCCTATACTCTGGAATAATTTGAGTGGAAGTGATGTCAGCTCTTCTCTGAATAGTAGAGAACCCGGTGAAGCCTTCTAGGTGTGTTTATTTGTTTTACTTTATTTAGTCTTTTCATTGTGAATTATGTAAAAGTTTACAGAGCAGATCATCAGGTTTACATTCAACAGTTTATAGACATTTTATTTCAACTCATTCATATGTACCCTCTCACTTCATCCCAGTGTTTCCTGTTTCCATTCCTCTGTCTTCCTAACCTTCTGTGCTTGGGTGGACGCTGTCTTTTTTATCTCAAATGGTCGATTGTTCGAACATGTGGGTGAGTTAAGTTCCCAGACCCAAAAGATGAGCTAGGGTCTTGAGTGTTCCACCAGTCTCTCTACAACCAATACATTCCATCTCTCT